TCCTAGCTTGAGCTCTGCTGTACAGGAGACTGCAAGAGGCTGATATCAACTCAAATTCAGGTACTTAGACCTACATTATAAAAAAAATGGTGGGCCTCAATGCAGGCTGTATGCATATATGAGTCAGCCTACCCCGTTTTCTTCTGACTGCGCTCACTAGCCAGCACAGTGACTTGAGCTATGACTGACAGCTCCGGGTCACTGTATACAATAAGGAGCCAGTGGGGTGGGCTCCTGATCATGTAACCGCTGTGAGAGCCAATCACAGCAATCACATGATCAGAAAGCCCGCTAAAATCCCCTTAAAGGGCCACTGGAAGTGGGCAGCAAGGGGCTCACAATTACAGAGCTATATTTAGTTATACCTTAACCTGCCTGGAGTTTACTGTACAATTCAGGTCTCCATAACATAACAGGGATGAACTAGATTTACTAAGAGTAATAAGACAGGGAACTCATGTTATAAAGGGGAAAAGATGCCTTATGTATAACTATAGGTAGGAAAATTTGTGATAAACACAATTTACATGTGATCCAAATCACGTCCATATACAATACTGTATATGCAATACATAAACGGTACACAGGAGAAGTGGACATCCATATGGAGGAAAAAAGATTCTACCACTGGTCTACAAAATATTCTTTAGAGCAGAAGTATATAAAACATACCTGCAGTTTTGAATAAAACAATCCAATATGTTCTCCCTGACCCTAGTCTTAAAATGTATGAAAACAGCGACCTGAGATCAGACGTTAGAAGCTTTTCCCTGCTCCAGGCAGAACAGAGCCAGAGAATATCTCCATTCTCTTAGTAGCGGGTTGTGCAATACTGGAGTACTGGTGTCTAGATTTTCTGTCATTCCAGTTCGGAGATTTACACATCTCTGCCACACAGCATAGTCCTCCCTGGCAGTAGGGGTGACCTGATCTTTCTCTGCTGCAGTTTCGCTTACAGGTTTTGATCCACCTTGTGACTGGGCAGTGGAAGAAAACACACTGATGAGTTCATCCTTCTGTCAGTCTGCTCTCTCCTGCTATCATGACCTGCAGCACACCTGATTGGCAAATTGTACTGCTTTTCATTCTCCTAGCTTGAGCTCTGCTGTACAGGAGACTGCAAGAGGCTGATATCAACTCAAATTCAGGTACTTAGACCTACATTATAAAAAAAATGGTGGGCCTCAATGCAGGCTGTATGCATATATGAGTCAGCCTACCCCGTTTTCTTCTGACTGCGCTCACTAGCCAGCACAGTGACTTGAGCTATGACTGACAGCTCCGGGTCACTGTATACAATAAGGAGCCAGTGGGGTGGGCTCCTGATCATGTAACCGCTGTGAGAGCCAATCACAGCAATCACATGATCAGAAAGCCCGCTAAAATCCCCTTAAAGGGCCACTGGAAGTGGGCAGCAAGGGGCTCACAATTACAGAGCTATATTTAGTTATACCTTAACCTGCCTGGAGTTTACTGTACAATTCAGGTCTCCATAACATAACAGGGATGAACTAGATTTACTAAGAGTAATAAGACAGGGAACTCATGTTATAAAGGGGAAAAGATGCCTTATGTATAACTATAGGTAGGAAAATTTGTGATAAACACAATTTACATGTGATCCAAATCACGTCCATATACAATACTGTATATGCAATACATAAACGGTACACAGGAGAAGTGGACATCCATATGGAGGAAAAAAGATTCTACCACTGGTCTACAAAATATTCTTTAGAGCAGAAGTATATAAAACATACCTGCAGTTTTGAATAAAACAATCCAATATGTTCTCCCTGACCCTAGTCTTAAAATGTATGAAAACAGCGACCTGAGATCAGACGTTAGAAGCTTTTCCCTGCTCCAGGCAGAACAGAGCCAGAGAATATCTCCATTCTCTTAGTAGCGGGTTGTGCAATACTGGAGTACTGGTGTCTAGACATGTGCACTGCCAAAAAATTCGTTTCGTTTTAAATTCGGATTTGTGTTATTTCGTTTTTCAGGATTCGGGTGTGAAAGTCAATTCGGATTCGGACGAAATTCGGTAGCGTTAGTACGAACGTTCGTTTCGTTTTCTGTTCTTATTCGTTTCTTATTCGTTTCGTTCGTTTGCAGCAAAAGTGACATTTGAGGGGGGAAAAATATTTTTCTCCTTCTCTAATGTCACTTTGCTCCAACGAACGAAACGAATAAGAAACGAATAAGAACAGGAAACGAACGTTCGTGCGAACGCTACCGAATTTCGGAAATGGAAATTCGGATTCATTTGCATTCGTTATGTCTGTAATTTGGAATTCGGATACATCCGAATGTCCGAATTTACGAAAATTCGTCCGAATTTCGATTCGGAACGAAACGAATCGCACATGTCTACTGGTGTCCCCCTATCCCTATGCCTAGCATGGGTGACCAGTGCTTGTACAAGGACCACATGCATGTGCTGATCTGGTCCTTGAAATCCCTGATGATGATTATCTGATTGGGTTTTAAAGTCCAGGTGGCCCATAGATGACCTAATTACTAGCAGATTAGGTGTGAAACCCCCTGCTCAGAGAATAGTATGTATATCAAAGCAACCAAGCAAAATCCTGTGCAAATAAAATATATATTCTCTTATTTTCATGTCAGACCCTAATAAGGGTTAAAGGAGTATATAATAAATAAATAAATAAATCGATTTAATCCCTTAAAGCAAGCACTTTTTTTAGGTCTTTGTGTCTTTAAAAACATCCTATGGCGCAAGCATCTCCAGCTGTGTGACTGATTCCATGAAAGGCCATGGGTGATGGTCCACAAACAAATCCTTTCACTGGGACCTCTGCATACCAACTCTGACATAATCTTGTATACTTCTTGTGTTAAATAAATAAAAATACAAGAGCAATCTATAAATCTCTCCCCTTTACCACGTCCTGTTCGTATACCATATTGTGTCCACATAGACGCGCTGATTTGATACATTTGCTATCAGTTCTGGGTTATTTTCTTTCCTATATATTCTGACATACTGTCTAAAAAAATTGTGAATACTTTGTTATGATTCCTTACTAATTTTTCAACCATATTACTTTGATTCAGTAAAAAAATGTTGAGTATTAATGCAGTCTTAAATATGTTTTCTACATTTAATTTAAAAGACTAACCCCTTATTGGTTGCATATCTTCCTGCTTGGAATCACTATCAATCAGCTGTTTGAATGAACCCCTTTTGATTGGTGGAGGTCTTCCTGCTTAGGATCTATACAGAACAGGTATTTGAACCCCCCTGCTTCTAATCTGTATAGTCGATACTGCTTGAAATCACAAGCAGTCAGATCTTTCAACAGTGCCACTGACTCTGAAGATGCCACCACTTTGAGCTACTTGGCTTTCTTTGGCACAGCTTTGGAAATACACTGCTGTTCCAAAGACTTCAGAGCTTAGGCTGCATCTTGTGTTGTAGAGCTTTGGCATTTTCATGGCACGCAGGATGCCACTGAAGAAAGCCAAGCAGCTTGTTGACCAATGGTATCCTCAGAGCTGAATGGGAGGGATGTAATAGAGCACCTGGTGGGTATTTGGGAAGTTTTTTTTACTTTTTCACCCAGAAAGTGAAAGGGTAAAGGATACTTGCTACTTAAAACAAACTTGTGGCGTCTTTAAATTGGAAATTGGCCATTGGATTGTAAAACAATTGGCCTGCACACATGTCAAATGCCCCAACATTTAGGATGCTCTCCTATGCAAATACTGACCAAAGATTTCATGTTTGTTCTCTGCCCCCACGCCTCCCTATTCACCTAGATTCCACGCATCAAACTAAGTTGGCAGTTGCAGACGTCAAGGGAAGAAAGGGCACAGAATGCAACCGGGCAAGCTGTGGTCAGTATTTACATAATAGCGCTCCCAGGTTTTGGAGCCCTGAAGCTATCTGCCAATAAATAAAACACGTGTGGAGAACAAAGCATGCCTACTGTATACTCTAGCATCCACTTTACAACAGGTATGCTACCCTTCCACTTTATTAATGTCTCTGTTTACAGAGTGACTTACATTGTTAGTAGACCAAATTATAGGGCAGAGTTGGTTATAATGGTTTTACATACAGAGATAAAGCCGTATAGGCTGCAATGCTGGGGCACACCTGGGCCTTCAGACCTGGATTCAGTTGTTTTTCCTTTTTTTGGCTCAATTTCTTACAACAACAAACCCACCGACATAATCTACTCCAAGCGGTATAACATACTCATTGGGTTCTTACAAATAGTCTTTTCAACTCTTAGGTAGGTGATTTAAGTCAGAACTGTAAAGATATGCCCAAGAAAATATTATTCTGTACCTTATAGAACAGATCATATTGGGGGCCTGCAACAGTCATGTGCAACTCATAGGTCCAAAGATGTGTTTCTATTACTTTTGTGATTGCTTCTAACCATGCAGGTTCCTAGAGAAATTCAAAAGTCCTACTAGGCAGACCTACTGAGAATGCAGTCAGCATCAATGTGGCTTCACTGGAGGGGCCTAACTACTTCCTATAAGTCCCTTCTGAGGAAAGCTGGTTTGTAAGAGCAGAGGTTTCCTACTGTATCAGATCTGGCCAAGGTTTTGAATCCACGTGCCTCTGCCTATATGTCAATTCTTCCATAAAATGAGTTGCCAATTATGTTGATTTTGCAAAGCCCTATTACAGTTCTCGGGCTCCTGGTGAATACAGACTGCATTCCAATTGAGTTCACAAGTCAACCTTGATGTATGGGTAAAATATCAATAACATTATGTAGACATCTAGTGTGTAGTGTGAAGAAAACATCGAAAAATCATAGCACTAGAAAAACATAACTCAACAATCAGACTTTGTCTGGATACTGGTGGAATAAAAGTAACAAAAAAAACATGGCCTTTGCAGACCATATGTCCACCATCTGCCTTGTATGAAGAAACAAAACTCATCAGGAAGTTAGCCACAAATTGTCATACGTACATGCAAATCCTTCAGCTACAATAAATCCAAATTGTCATACCTCTACAATGCTTTTAAGGTCTCTGACATAGGCCTGCTCTGTTTCTAGGATCTCCAGCACCACTCTGTCTAGATGGGAAAGCTTAGCCTTTGGATCCTTGGCTTTACGCAGAATTGGAGACCATGTACAGCCCAGGAAGGCTTTTTCATTAGGCAGTCCTTTATGGTTACTCTCCAACTGGGCCACAGGAGTAAGATCGAGGCTAATGTCACTGCCATTCTGCTGGGGATATGGAGGGCTGCAGTACTGTGAGGAGCCAAGAGTCCCGCTGCTTCCAAAGGAACTGTGGCTGTCTTGCAAGGAGGCCGACGAGGTGGAGGAACTGAGGCTGACCGGACGATCGCTGTCCGAACAAACAGTGTTCACGGAGGTACAGCTGCCAGACATCCCGGCTACTATTCCGTTAAGAGAACTGACAGATGAAGGCCTGGGGGCAGCTAGGAGAGAGATGGATAAATTACAAGAATGTAGTTCAGAGTAATGGACAGTGATGGTCTGCTAACATTGACTTTGTCTAAATAACAAGGGCCAGATTTCAGTTAGTTAGACCCACAGGCCATTTCTGTTATGCGTTATCTATTACATCAGACCTCTGTGGTTATGCAGTTACAAACCTATTATAAAGTAAGTTTATAGTGTGGGGCTCATTTATTAAAACTGGAAAAAAATGAAATGAGCACAAAAGAGATGTTGCTGCCTATACAGACGAGTCAGGATTTGTGTTATTTTTTCCAGAACATGAACTAGGAAACTGATAAGTCACTAGGAGAAATAATTCCAACATAGTACTAATTTTCTTTTCTCAACTTTAAATGAATCAGCCCCAATGTCTGTCACCCCCAAGGACATAATTAAACCCTAAATATATATTAAGGGTGCAAATAAGGTTCATGGGGAGAGTATTTTCAATATGAAGCTAAGATCAAGGACACAGGGACATGTATAGCCTCAAACTAGCCGGAGGATAGATTCAGAATTAGCCTCAGAAAGTATTATTTGACTGAAAGAGTACTAGATACTCGGAACATACTTCTAACAGGTAGTGAGTCATTCGACAATAAGTAAACTTAAACATGCTTGGGGCAAACATAGTTCTATACTCTGACAGAAAGGTTAACTACACCACCCCGCACCAAAAAATAAACTAAAATAAAAAAATAAAGGGGCAGACTCAATGGACCACTTTTTTTTTTTTGCGTCACTCTTCTGTTTTTACGTTTTTATGTTTATTTTCCTTTGAGTTGCCTAAAGACTCACATATGAAAACAAAGAGGGGCAGTCTGACCACCATGTAGAATTTTGCTCAGCCCTGACCTTCTGACCCTGGCAAGCAGGCTTGCATATGAGTTCCAGGCCAAGCTCTGCAGTCTATCAACTCTATAGGGTGCCATAAGGGATAGTATATCTGAAAGTATATACTGAAATAAACCTTTGGTCGCCAGGTTAGTTAAGTAGTGTACTACAGCATGGGATATTATAGTTCGTCAGACCTTGAACCCAAAAGTCATAAGAGTTTTTTTATGAGAATGTTAATAGTTAAAAGAATGTGGAGTATCATCCCCATTCCCCACCTAGGGTTGCCACCTTTTCTTCAAGCGAAACCCGAACACTCTAGTGATGAGCAGCTTCAAAACCCGGACTGTCTGGGTGAATCCTGGACAGGTGGCAACCCTATCCCCACCCATCCACCCTCACTGTTATTACTCCCTGTAATTTTACCTGTTCTAATGGACCCAATCCAGATTCATGCCACAATAGTGGTGGGTCCTGATAGCCAGAAATGTATAAAGTAGCCCCTCATCCATCTGAATCATCTGCACCCCTTCAGGGCTAACTCCGTACCCAGTTTTGGGCTGCCTATATCAAAGGTCACACAGAGCAAAGAGAGGCATGATCGTAGGGGATCAGAGGCAAATATAATCAAACTCACCTTGTTCACCTGGTCGCTCTCTGCTTCCTTTCAGGGCTCCTTCCGGCATGTTGATATGATGGGGGTCTCCCCGTCCTGCAGGGTAGAGAAAATGTAACAGTTTATAAATGAAATAAAGGATCTGTTAAACTGTAATATACACAGATATTTGAGATATTATTAAAGCTTAAAGTATATCTAAAGTCAAAACTTTTTTTATTAATTTAGGATAGAGTAGAAAATGGTTAAAACCCCCCATCATACCTCATGTTTTGACAAAGCGTATTGTACTCTGCAGCTCCCATACATTATCCATATAGGTTTCCATTGATGCATTTATATTTAGTCTTGTACCCTTAATTTCCCCTTTAAACCTTAATAGGAAAGGTGAAGGCATGTTAGCTTAGCCGTGCATAATAGATTAGATATGGACCTCCAGGGGGGAGACTCCACAACCATTCCGTTGGAATCAGTGAAGACAGTAAACAGTTTATATCCGAGGGATCTCTTCAGATAGAGATCAAGGCAGGCCCCAGATGCTTGAATTCTGTTTTCACTATATGGATAAAGAGGACAGATTACTGTGTGAACTGCCTGCGGTATGTACTTCCATCCCAACATAATTATTACTGGTTTATATTTAACCAATCTGCAATTAAATAAAACCCACCATCCCCCAAAAACCACCCTGCGGAATCACAGAAAACCAAACTGTAAGTCAGTGTCATTTCTTATTACTAATAATAATAGAGGACGTGAAAATGAGTCTTGCGGCATCTAAATGGTTGCCTACCGGAGGAGGCCGGAGGAGTGCAGGTGTCACGGTCAGCCTATGTTCATTAGGAAACCCTTTGTATCATTCTGGCACCTAAACGAGTCTAAAATAAACCTAAAACAGTCTCCATCTTGAGATGGGAGCTTTTTGGGGCAATCTGTCTGTTTGAAGCAAGATCAAGGAGTTGTATAGACAATGTAATATTTTGTTTTACTTTTTAAAAACCCCTGAATGAAAGGAAATTCAGCAGTTTTGGTACATTTTGTTCAAAGTAGACCTGTGCTTTGGCCATACTGTGCAAAGTGACAGGTCCTCTTTGCTGTATGGAGCCTAAGGTATATTCCACTCATCTTCCACTCTTTTGCCAATGTTCCGATGGCTGCCAGACCACCTAAGAGACTTGTGTAAGCTTCAACTTGCTGAGAAAAGTTGAAACTTACACAGCCGTGGTATCCACCTTCCCTGTCTCTAAATGACCACACTCAGGCCTGGAATTATGTGCTCAGGCACCAGGGAGGGTGGAGTGTTAGGTGAACTCCCATACCTGGAAGTGTATGGGTATGTTCCAGGCTGCCTGGTGGTGCATTAGAGTGGAGGGGGTGCGATTAGAAAAACACTGACACTGCAGTTTATGGAGCACGAGTCCGTCACCAACCTAAGAAATTGCAGGTAAAATATCAGGCAAATCAAGTATTTTAAATGCTTACTTGCACTATATTTCCTTTCCATAAATTATTTTTATGCACTTGCAATGTGCCCCTGAACCTGGGAGACAATTTGACTACTCCAGAAAGTGTCAACTCCCTAGCACGGCCCCCTACATCCGTCCACGCCATAGCCTTCACCTCTTCTGGGAGTGTCTAATTAATTTATGTGCTGTCCCAGCTCCCCTTCCTTCACCTCCATACATAACCTTTTATGTAGTTACAAGTAGGGTGAAGGGGAAAACTATAGAGTGTCACTTGAATGGCAGCTCTGAATTTACTGGGCTGTTAACAGCGAATCCAAGATTGTTTTCTATGTGCCCTGTCCACACCATACATGTGTGGTGGTGTACAGAATAACGCAGCTCAATCGACATGGTGTGAACAAGCCCTCAATTGGTTGTTGGACTGCCAATCTGATATATCTGATAAGCAGCCCAATGACCAACTGAAGGAGCACACAGGGCAGCCTGACAACTCTGCTGCTACTTGTGAGGCAGTGGCTTAGCATTGTCAGCCTGCAACAGGAAGTGCTGCTATTAAAAGGATCTCCGGGGTAAAAAAGTTTACAATAGATTTGCAAAAATAACTTAGCCAAAAACTGTATACAGTGAGGCAAAATGCCAAACATACAAAAAAAATGGATTTTACGTTTTAAGGGAGAACTATGAGGTGAGGGATTTCCACTCATCCTCATAGTTAGAGCCAACCTGTGACAAAGAAGCTGTCACAGGTCAGCTCTATAGATCAGGAAGTAAGCGAACACATACCGTCCCTAGCTCACTTTCCGATCATCTGCCTGCAGAGAGCTGTGACTGTCAGTCACCGCTTCCCGCAGGGATTCCCCCCCTTCCCTCTCCGATCCTCCAGCACTGACTGGAGGAATGGATGGGAGAGGGGGCGGGCACAGCTGGCTCTGTCTCTAGATAGGCAGAGCTCGCTGTCAGTCACGCAGCTGGGTGGATCCAGACAGTATTGTCGGGATCCGTCCCGGCTGCGGTGCTCTCAGTATATCGCGGGCGATAGCTCGCGATAGACTGAGCTTTGGGTCACGGGAGGAGGTTAGTATGCAGTATGTCCTGCCATTGACCCAAAGTGAACTATGGGGAAAAACACTTACCCCATAGTTCTCTTTTACTGTGTGCATACTATTTGTTCTATGCTCAGATCCTATTATCATAAAATCCACATTTAAATGTGTTATAAATATTCTTTTTGTTGAAAATAAATAGGCCATTATACAAGAAGGAGCTTCCTTTTCTTTGACAATACACAGTTGTTGTTTTTTTATTTCACTTACCCCTAAATTAAAATAACATTTTTTTTCCACATGCCAAAAACATACCACTGTTACTGGGAAGCAGTTCAATGGAAAATAACCATTCTGCATGTGGCTATGTTGGGATAGTTTTACATGTGGCAAATGTTGCTTGTTCTGGATGCAGTGTGAGTAAGCTTCATAGACATTAATCCCCAATAATACCACCAACAGTCATTCACACTGGGCTTTTGAAGACAAGCTACGGATGTTGTGGTCACTAGTCAAAATGCAATCCAAGGTTTCAAAAAAACACAAACTGCATGGTCTTTCACTTAAAGTTTATGTAAACCCTAACAAATAACTTTTCTTTTTTGCTCCTGTTCCAATTTCAAGTCCAGTTGACTATCTCTATGGACTACACTGAGCTGTCTCTATGGATTAAGAACATAGAAGTGAGTAAAGGGGGTTGTAGTCCTCTCCTATGTTGTCACCGTTGCCCCTCCATAGATATCGTAAAATGAGTGTTGTCACCTTAGGACATGAAGTGTGTTACTGGCAGGATCACCAGGTGATAAAAAAGGAAAAAAAAACAAAGAATCACATTTTTGTTCTTGGGTTTAGACAGACATCCCAATTCTCCCGGACGCTCCAGGAATCTCCCGCTATTAGGTAGCGGCTCCCGGCCGCCCGGGAGAGAAACATTTTCTCCCAGAAAGGTTTACTCTGCTCGATCTAGCAGAGTAAACCTTTCCCTGCTGTCTGTTTTTTTTCTGTCGAGAGCACCGCCGTCAGAGTAAAAAAAACAAACAAAAAAACAGCATAGGAATGAATAGCTACATGCTATTGGCTATTGCACTTTGCAATAGCCAATAGCAGACTAACTATTGCACCTGCCCAATGCTGCTGTCAATCAGCAGAGGTGGACCTAAAGTTCTCCATCAGGTCCTCTCTCTGCTGATTGACAGCAGCAGAGGGTGGGTGCAATAGGCAGCTTGCTATTGGCTATTGCGAATTGAAATAGCCAATAGCAATCTAGCTACTCATTCCTATGCTGTGTTTTTTTTATTATTCTGACGGTAGCAGCTGTCAGAATACTAAAAAAAAAACCCCAGCAGATAGCATGGGAAGCAATAACTTCTTTGCTACCTGCCAGCATTTCAGGGGGGTGGCCGGGGGGCAGAGGGCACCTCCCTAAAATGAGAAGGGCACCTCCCTGAAATCACTTTTTTCAGGTTGGGATCCCTGGTTCAGATATGTTTTTAGGCAGCCTATGGCTTGATCCAAGCTCATCTATTACTTGGGAGGTCATAATAGAGGGATGTGATTGGTTTACATGGTATGGCACCCTGCACAGGTGCCAACTGATATGCCACTTTGGCAGGAGCCCTCCAATGAAAATGCAATTTTGGATACGCAATGGTAATGTCTGCCCCCTCACTGTACTATCATTTTACCTCATTCATACCAAATGCCATGCAACCAAGGACTTCAGCTTCTGTTCATGGTGTGGCCATTAGGGAACTACATGGGAGGACTGGGAGAAGGGTACATATACTGAATAAACATATACCTTCATCCATCGTAACTGTATGCTTACATATTATTGTTGTTCTTTTTGCTCACCAGTCTTCCTTTTTTAGGATTAATCTGATTGCTTGCTACAAGCACCAAAAACTGTGCCCTCTTCATGCATTCTGACTACATATATTTTTTTCATTACAACAGTAGTAAATATAAATGTACTCTAAATTGTGTGGAGAGACAAGCTGCCCGAGATTCTGCCTGCTTTTGATTCCATCTTGGAAACTCCTTCCATTTTAATTGCTTCCTTTACATGTGATTCTGATCTAATGTGATTTTGTTCTAGGAGCCATGTCTGTCTTCAAGTTCATTCTGGTTGACATATGAAGTGTTTCCGCTCAGAATCCATGTGTACAATGATTTGGATTACAGCAGTCCTAATTTCACATATTGTACTATTCATGACATATTGTACTATTCAGCCATGCCAAAGACTTCTCTGGACCAGTGCTGCTCAACTCCGGTCTTCAAAATTTGCTCCCCAGCAGTGCACGTCATTCAGTTTGAATTAGTTTTCACTGAAGATGTATAAAACAAATAGGGCCAGGTTTTTCCCCTGCATATCATTTGCCTAAATTATGCACTGTCCGGCGTCCCGCCCAGCTCACTGATGTCACTGGTTGCCAAGCCAGAGTGTCCTGCTCAGCTCCTGGCAACCGGTGACATCAGAGCATCATAGGTTGCTAAGAGCTCGTAGCAACCTGGGACGCTGTAGACGCCCCCCCTGCTGCGCCCCAATTAGATGCCGCCTGAGGCAACCGTCTCTTTTACCCAT